GCTTTACCAAATCAGATATATTATTAGTCTAGGACATTGTTAGTTACCATGATATTGTAAAACCTGTTGGCATTGGTTAATGGAACTTGTTATAAACAGCTATTATATAATAGGTATTCTTATTTGTTTTCATAGGTAGAAGTGAAATCTGGAGAAGAAGATGAAGAAATTTTATTCAAAGAGAGAGCCAAACTTTATAGGTGGGATAGAGATGTCAATCAGTGGAAGGAGAGAGGTATTGGAGATATTAAGATTCTTTGGCATACAATGAAGAATTATTATCGGATCCTAATGAGAAGAGACCAGGTTTTTAAAGTGTGTGCAAACCATGTTATTACCAAAGCCATGGAATTAAAACCTTTAAATGTTTCAAATAATGCTTTAGTGTGGACTGCCTCAGATTATGCTGGTGAGTTACTACCTTCAGTTGCCTTTTAATTTTATTGCCTTTTCTGAAATCTATAAAATATACATGCTTTGTAAGTTACTTTAATATTAATATTAACCCCCCCCTTCTTAATAGATGGAGAAGCAAAAGTAGAACAGCTTGCAGTGAGATTTAAAACAAAAGAAATGACTGAGTGTTTTAAGAAAAAATTTGAAGAATGTCAACAGAATATATTGAAACTCCAAAATGGACAAGTATCCCTCACAGCAGAGTTATCAAAGGAGACCAATCCTGTGGTATTCTTTGACATTTGTGCGGATGGTGAACCTCTAGGACGGATAATTATGGAATTGTTTTCACATGTTGTTCCTCAAACTGCTGAGAACTTCAGAGCATTGTGCACTGGAGAGAAGGGCTTTGGTTTCAAGAACTCTATTTTTCACCGAGTAGTTCCAGATTTTGTTTGCCAAGTAAGTGTCACTATCCATACATCATGGTTAAATCTGCTAAGACTAGACCACACCAACTTGCCCTCATTCTCATCTTGGGAATTTTAAGCTTTCCCACACCATAGCTGGCTGACATTGAACTTGACACTCCTTTTTAAACATTCAGATAGAAAGGCTCCAATTTTCTAATGTTTGCTACCTGCTAGAAACAGAATAAGGGAAAAACCTTTGTCCTTCTCAAAACATGTATTTCTTAGTTTTAAAATGTATCTGTCATGATGATTTCTATGTATTTTAATGTTTGAGTCAGTATTAACAGAAAGATTTTTTTTGTGTGTTCAGGGAGGAGATATCACCAAACATGATGGAACAGGAGGACAGTCCATTTATGGAGATAAATTTGAAGATGAAAACTTTAATGTGAAGCATACTGGCCCCGGCTTGCTCTCTATGGCCAATCGGGGCCGGGATACCAACAATTCACAGTTTTTTATAACACTGAAGAAAGCAGAACATTTGGACTTTAAACATGTAGTATTTGGGTTTGTTAAGGATGGCATGGATACTGTGAGAAAGATCGAATCATTTGGTTCTCCTAAAGGTTCTGTTAGTCGAAGAATTAGTATCACAGAATGTGGACAGCTATAAAATAATTTCACAGCAAGTGTTATCTATATAAACAGTTGAATTGATACTCAATTGTTACAGACAATATGGTAATTATGTACACCTTTGAAAACAGATGTTTCCAATGTATAAATGTAAAATTGTAGCTTATAGCTGTTGTCACTTTTTAATGTGTGATAATTGATCTTGCATGGTGTGAAATAAAAGTTTAAACACTGGTGTATTTCAGGTGTACTTGTGTTTATGTACTCCTGACATAGCTGTATTAGAATGGCTAATACTAATTTTGTTGAAAGCAATAGAGCTTCCCAGACTATTGAAGGAATATGATATATGCAATCTTATTTTCATTCCTGTTAAGATATTTGGATTTCCTGCATGGTACTTACCATTGAATAAGGGGACCACAACTCAAATAATTTTATTTTAGATTTGAAATATATATATGGTAATCTTAACTATTCGTGTGCTCATTTATGTATAGACTCATTTATGAATGGATAGAGCCACAGAAGATATGAGTTAACCAAAGTGCTCTTCTGTAATTTTTATGCACCTGTATAGTTAAAAATTAACTTTTAAGTAGAATATTGTCTTTTCTTAAGATATGTAGTTCCCTTTTGAAGATATTAATTTTTACATTTTAAATAAGTTGATCATTCCCTTAGCTAGCCTCCCCCATCCTTTTCCCTTCTTCCTTTTTTCTTCTTTCCATTCACTTTTCTGTTACCTGTCTCTACTACCTCAGAAACTTCAGCTTGGTCCTGATGATAGAATTGAATTTTTCTCTAGTTCTTGTGATAAAGTATGAATATTTTTAAAAGATCTATACCATGTTCTTTGGTTAAAGATTTGCTTTATATTAGATTGTTGCAGTACCTTTTTCTGGTGAATTTTGTAGCAGAAATAAAGTGATAATTGATAACAGCCATGACATTTAAAACATTCATTACTTGTGCATCTAAGTTGTCTGTTCCTTCTGTGACTTGATGTAAAATGATATCTGTTAAAGGCCAGCACTCTGAGCTCACACTTTGACATCAAAAGTTTGATAAACACTGAAAATGTACTTTGATGTGGTTTGTGTCAAATAGGCAAACTATTAAAGGAACAGCTTGCTCTTAGGGGCCTACTCAGTGTAGAACCAAAATGAATCTAGTTAGATTATAAAATTCTCTATTTTCCAATCTTGAGTATTGAGTCCTTTCTATTTCCTTGCATTCAACTATTAGAGTAGGGCAAGGAAGGGCTTATGTAATGAATTATGAGATAACATTTCTTTAAAGAATACTTATTCCACAGCCAGGCACATGAAATAAACCTACCTTAAGTTGGCCTTATAAAGAGAATCATGCACATTTAGTAGCTTCTTTGGAAACCTGTGTAATATTAACTCATGTAAAAGTATTGAAATTTCTCAGCTGAGAAGTTGATGCCATCAATTTAATATAAGCAAATGGAAATGTCTTCTTAAAAAATCATCTCCTGTAGCCCAGGATTACCTTGAACTTGCTTTGTAGCTGAGGCTGGACTTGAACTCTTCTTGATCTCACTATCTCCACCAGGATTGCAGGCTTGTGCCCACTATGCATGGTTGCAAATGCTTTTTAAGAGATATTTTACATTTAATTTACTTTTCAAGCTGTTAGGGTTATTAAAGATCTTGACAAAATGGTGTGTTAAACTAACTTTTCCAGGATTGGCATTAATAACATGTTTTCAACCTGTTGAGTTACCAAAGGTTGAGAGCCACCATTTGGGTTCTTGGAATGGAACTCAAGTATCCGGAAGAGCTGTCAGTGCTCTTAATGGCTAAGCTATTGAGCTCCAACAAAAGAAGTTTAAAAGAAGCTTTTATAATATATTTGATACATTTTAGAATGTATTATTTAATGATATAAACTTAAATTGATAAGATTTTTCTGTAGGCATTTCAGGCTGGCTTGGGATGGGACAGGTATCCTGGAGCTCAGGAGCCAAGGACTACCACAGGCCACAGTAAGCTGCAGCTTTACAGCCTTGCCTCAGAGAAAGGCTTCCCCAGTGTATCAGCTCCACTCTGGCAGAACAGGGTCTTCCAGCTGGGGATGTTTGCCCAGTGTAGCAGTTTTGCTCAGGCAGGAGAGGGTTTCCCCAGGCGAGGACGAAGTTGCTACAGTTCAGCTCTACTCCTGGAAGAGTGTAACAACTCCGCTCTGCCAAGGGAAGGTTTCCCTGGCAAAAGTGTTACAGCCCTGCTCGCTCTTTGCGGCCACTGAAAAAAAGATCTTCACCCAAAGCTCATCGAAGGGGTTTATTGGGAGGGAAGAATCCAGGAGAGTGGCTGCCCTCTGCCACTCAGCCACAAGCTGAACAGACACAGGGTTTATATGGGGCTTCCAGGGTGGGGATTGGTCAGAGTTTAGTGCTGAGCTCAGATTGGCTAGAGCTCTGTTCAGGGATTGGTTAGTTTTCTGCACAGGTTAGGGTCAGATTTGGTCTGGTTTCAGGGCCAAAGTGTGTTTCTTTCTCTGGTCCTTTTTAGCCTTTTGGCTCCAATTTTAGGTCCAGGGTACATTTCTTTCACTGACTCTGATTCCAGGGACAAAGTGTGTTTCTTTGGCACTATCTTCAGGGCCAGGGTACATTTCTTTGGTTCTGGTTGCAGGGCCAAAGTGTGTTTCTTTGGTTCTGCTCAGGGTGTGTTTCTTTGACTAGTCCCTTTCCCCTACATTTTCTTTTCCAACTGGCTAGATTTTCTATGCTCATTAAAATCAGCCCAAAAAAACCTCAACTCCAGAATAAACAGTTTAGATGGTATTTTATAGCAAAAGGTATTCTTTAAGCAATTTTTAATAGTTGTCTCCTTTTGCAACGTTAAAAGAATTTAGGGGTTGCTGATCCACATGAGCTGGAAATTCTTAGAAACTGAAATTGCCCAAGTAGGAGCTTGTAGGATATGGTTGACCTGTGTACTGGGTGCTGTTGTAGGGCTAGGGAAAGAAAGGTTTCTGTTTTAAACCAAACTACATGTTTACAGAGCGTCTTTCTGACTTCATGAGGCAGGTCTCCTTATGTAGCTGTCCAGTTTAAGACCATAACCCATCATCTTCCATGCCTAACCCAAATTTGTGGAAATAGGCAAAGGAATTGAAAAGGTAGTTTGCTGCAATTTGTGTGCCTGGCATTCAGACATGTCCTGATTTTTCTGTGATAGTAACCACTTTTGATGAAGAGAAGTGTGTTTAGACAAGTTCTTTGCACGGTAAATGTACCTGGTATCCCACGTGGCCCCAGGCCCCGGGTAGCACGTTGGCCCTCAGGTGTGCAGAAGATACTCTCCCTCCTGCTGCCTGGCTGCGCTCCGCTCGCAGGGAAGATGGAATGCCGTTTTTCACTGCTCACTTCATTCACTGCGGCGTGGGGGTGGAGGTGTGGGAATCGAAGGACAAATAGGAACTGGGTTGCAGGGCGCCCTCCTCGCACCCCTCTTCCAACCGGCTTCCAGCGTTCCCAGGGGCGGGGCCGGGCGTCGTGACGTACTGCCGGCCCTGACGCGGCTGTGAGCGCGGTTTCCCAGGCGACCGCGGTCAGCCGCCCACCATGGAGCGCAGGGTGGTCAAGCCACCGGGGCAGGACTTGGTAGTGGAGCGTCTCAAAAGCCGCTACGGCCTGGCGGGAAGCTGCTGCGTGGAGGTGAGGAGAGTGGAGCCCGCGGCGTGCTCCGCCGGCCGGGCGGCTGCGGGAGGGCTCCGGCCCGCCTTCCTCGGGGAGGCTCGCCCGGAGCGCCTTGCCTCAGGGAAACCGCCGAGATGCACGGGGCATGGCTTTGGTCCTCTGGCGGTGACCAGAGTGCCCCAGGTTTAGAAGACAGTGTAGTTCTTTCGGGCAAGCTTCTTACTCCGAAGTAATTGCAAACTTAGAAGCTGTGGCAGTATGCATTCTTGTAGCCCACCCTTGAACGCGCCGTTCGCCAGGCGTGTCTTGGCTTATTTGCTGCGGGACCCCCACCGAAGCAATTTGCTAATAACAATCTGTGGGAGGTTGGCCAGATCGCATCTCCTGTGAATGCTTGGAAGAACCGAAGCGGGGAAACCAATTGCAGCCCTGCAGTTTCCACAAGGTTTATTATTATTTTTTTCTTTTTTAAATCATCACATCTCTTTTGGTAACAGTTGGGAGTTTACAGTTCAGCTGAGAAGCCTGCTTCACACACAGCCTAGCAAACTCAAGGTTTTATGAAGCACAACATCTGAGGTACGGGAACATTATGTATTCTATTCTCCAGAGTTGAGAAAGGTCTCAGGCATTCCTTAGTTCCCTCCCACATTGGCTATCTTCTCAAAACCCCGTCAGTGTATCTCAGTGTTCCCATGCCCGTGTCACAAATCCATTCTGTCCTCACATAACCTTAATTCAGATTGCAACACGTACTCCTCTGGGTTGGTTTTCCTCTGAAGCACGTTCTCAGAATTTTAAGGCTTCATTGATGTTTTTCAGGATATCCAGTATGGCCACAATAATACAGGACAATGTCTAGTTCATACTCAGGTTCCACTAATTACCACAATTAAGACCTTTTGTAGAAAGTTTTTCCTGATGCAGATGCCACCTAGGTCTGAACATTGCATCTGGTTGTCTCTGTTGCCTTTACAACTTAGTTTCCTACAACATTAATGCTTTCACCAGGTAGAAGACTGTTGTGTATAGAATCTCTCTCAGTTTGAGTTTGATGGATTCTGGTTTGATTTGATTCTGGTTTTGTATTTTTGGCAGGAATATGACCTGAGTGGTGCATGGGCTGCTCTGGTGAACCAACAGGTACATGATGTTTGCTTGCCTAATCAGTGATGCTAATGTTGGTTAGGGTGCGGCCCCTAGGTTTTTCCATGCTAACCATTGTAATTAACAGTATAATCTATGGAAAATATTGTAAGGGAATATTTCTTAGTGTTTAAGTATGTCTTTTTTATCCTCCTAGCATGAGCTTTCAAATTTTGATCAGAATAAATATAAAAGAAGAATTCTAACCTCCCCAGGTAAGTCAATAGAATATTTTGTATATTTGAGTATTTTAACAAATTTAATTTGAAAGAGATTTTTGTAATGATTTAGCTGTACGATTAGTATTGCTTATTTTTTATTTAATTTTTTGATAAATGCATAATAATTGAATTTAGGGATGAATGTGTGAGATCCCTTTAAATAAATTTATGGGGGGCATGGGAGGGAGCAGGAACTGGGATTGATATGTAAAATATGATGTTTCTAAAATAAAGAAAAAAACAAACAAAATGTTAAATTTAATGAGAGTTTTTGGGGTGTGTGTGTGTGTAATTTATAGTATGTGCTCCTTCCTTTTTAATCCTGTGCTACTGGGAGTTAAAACCAGACCCTTGATCAAGGTTGAGCAAGTGTTTGATCACTAAGCCAGCTATGTTCCATGCTAATATGTTTGCTTTTGAAAATGTTAAAAATTGAGCAGACTGTATTGGGTGAAGAAGACTAGTTGGTAGTTTTAGGTAGGTAGAGTTACTAGGGTAGAAACTAAAGGAAAAATTTATCAAGTGGAATACATAAATATATGTGGAAAACATAATTATCCTGGGGGTTGTAATGTTTTTTGATAAGCTGAAACTTTTTGGCTTTTTTTGTTTTGTTTTGTTTTGTTTTTTGTTTGTTTGTTTTTCCGAGATGAAGTTTCTTTGTGTAGCTTTGTAGACCGGGCTGGCCTCAAACTCACAGAGATCTGCCTGCCTCTGCCTCCTGAGTACTGGGACTAAAATTGTGTGCCACCACCACCCAGCTAAACTGAAACTTTTTTATGGAAATAAGTATTAACCACTAATCTATTAATTTGTTAATACTTCAGTGCTATACTTATTAGTTAAATGTAATAATCATTAAACTTTGGTAAGTATAGCATCAGTAGTGTCTTTAATTTCATCAATATGTAGGAGCTGGAGCCGGGCGGTGGTGGCGCACGCCTTTAATCCCAGCACTCAGGAGGCAGAGGCAGGCGGATCTTTGTGCGTTCGAGGCCAGGCTGGACCGATAGCCTCCGAAACAATACAGAGAAACCCTGTCTCGTAAAAACCAAAAAAAAAAAATATATATATATATATATGTAGGAGCTGGGTCTAAGGACTAAAAAAAATACTCTCAGTGAAACACCCTGTCTACAAGGATTCCAATACAGCACTTTCAGAAAAGTTATAGGTGAAATTAAAGAATGAAGCCGGCTGTTGGTGGCACATGCCTTTAATCCCAGCACTCGGGAGGCAGAGGCAGGCGGATCTCTGTGAGCTCAAGGCCAGCCTGGTGTACAGAGCAAGTTCCAGGACAGGCTCCAAAGCAAGCAAATAAATAAATAAATATAAAGGAAGAATGGTTAATGTTTCTGAAATGTCAAAATTAGGTCTACAGACAGAATGAGATCATTCAAAACAAAAAAGATAACCAGTTAGAGTTGTTTGCTGAAATAATAGTCAAAAAGAACTAACGACAGATATCCGGGATCTTAAGAAAGTGATAGAAGAAAAGGGATTATTTCCACTACTAACAAAACCAATGAGGAAAGGTTAAAAGCCTTAGAAATCAGCAGGCTTTAAAAAAATTGATTTAGGCTAGAAATTAGAAGGTTATCTGGTAATAAAAGTGCAGTTTGTTTAGCATGGCGTTGGTGGATGCCTTTAATCCCAGTAGTGGGGAGGCAGAGGTAGGTGGATCTCTGTGAGTTGCAGATCAGCCTGGTCTACAAGAGCTAGTTCCAGGACAACCTCCAAAGCCACAGAGAAACCCTGTCTCAAAACAAACAAACAAATAAACAAAAATGTAGTTTGTACTGGGCAGTAGTGGTGCATGATTTTAGTCCCAGCATTTGGGAGGCACAGGCAGGTGAATCGCTGTGAGTTCAAAGCTGGCTGGGTCTACAGAGCAAGTTCCAGGACAGGCTCCAAAGCAATACAGAGAAACCCTGTCTTCGAAAAAAAAAAGTGCAGTTTGTAGTCACTCATGGTGACCCTGTGCATCCTTTGAGGGCATTTGTGTTTCCCCTGAGTCTAAACAACTCAGCATGCAGTGACGGAGAGTGCTTCTCATCTCGAGTTCACGGCAGGCTTTCAGAGAATGTAAGCAGCACCAGCGATTTTCAGCTTTTCTTGCCAGTGTCTATATAGCTTTTACTTTGTGGTCTATACTTTATAAATATCTTTTGGAAATATTTTTTCTTCATTGAGAATCTTCTTTTTGTAACAGAATTGTCACCTGTCATTTACCTGTAAATCTTCTGCACTTGTTTCTTCGTTATATGAAGAAAGCTAGAATGCCACACCCTCAAACATGCCCCTTTGATATAAACTATAATTAAGAAGAAGCAGAGTCAGGACAGCTCCATGAGGGTGGAGGAGATGGCTCAGTTGGTAAAGCACTTGCTTCAGAAGAGAAGGGCCTAAGTTCAGATCTCCAGCACACGTGGAAGCCAGATTTGGCAATGTGTTCCTGTAACCTGGTTGCTAGGAAGGCGTAGACAGGCAGATCCCTGAGACATGCTGGCCAGTGCCTTCTCAGTTCTTTAAAAACCTAATCTTGGCTAGATGCTGGTAGCGTACACCTTTATTCCCAACAATCAGGAAGCAGAGGCAGGAGAATCTCTGAGTTTGAGGCCAGCCTGGTCCACATAGTGAGTTCCAGGACAGCCAGGGCTATACTGAGAGACCCTGTCTTAGAAAATCAAACCAATAAAATAAACAAACAAAAATAATAATAAAAGCTAATCTTTGTTGAAGATTCCATTCACACCCAAAGTCTAAGCTATGATTTGAGTAGCCTTTATTGAGACTTCTCCTGTGTGTTGTGTACTGAGTGCTTTAAAACACTTGCTTGATTTTTCTCTTGCTAGCTTGTTTGTGATTACCAGTGTCTCTCCTAACTATCAAATTATAAGGGTTGTAGAGAAATTGTTTTTGCTCCCTGATACATTTCTTTCTTTAAAACTTCTAGATTAAAAATTTAGGGGAGAGTTGATTAAAACATGTGCCCTTTATAGAATGAACAGTGGGGTCATACTACAGCCACTGTTGCAGGAGCCCCATCTTGCAGCCTACCTTTATTCCTTGGGGACTCTGCCTCTTGGTGCTATTAATAACAAGCCTCTATCTGCCCTGCCAGCCAGCCACCAGATAACGATACAGAGACTACTTACTAGTTAGTAAAGCTCAGCTTATAGGTTAGACTTCTTCCTAACTAGCTCTTATAACTTAAGTTAGCCCACATTTTTATTAGTTTACATTCTACCATGTGACTTTTACCTCCGTCCCTTTCTGTGTCTGGCTGGCTTCTCTGCCTCTCTTCTTCCCGGAGTCCTTTCTGTGCCTGGAAGGTCTCCCTGTACCTGGCTGTTGGGCATTCAGCTCCTTATTAAACCAAACAGAAGGCACCTTGGCAAAGGCACCATCTTCACAGTGTGCAGAAAGATTATCCCACAGTACTGGTCCAGGTTATTAGTAGATCTCCCTTCTAACCCTCAGCCTTACCCTCCATTCCCTGGGGACTCCATCTCGTGGTGTGGATCCAGGGTCCCTCAGATCTTTGCCCCTGACCCTCTCAGTCTTCCCTTCTAGCTCATCCTCATTCGTTTGTGTCTCCCCCAAACTCCAGAATCACTCTGTACTATACTTGCCTAGGATCCAGAGTGGACAACAGCAAAGACTGTTGAAATACTGAAATACCCACCCAGCAAAGACAAGACCATGTATCTACACAAAGAAATACCCCAAACATCAAAACTCTAGATGCCTACCTAGATCCCAGCACAAAAACACATCAACAGCCAAGACACTCTGCCTGCTTCAGAAGCCAGTGTCTCTATTGTAGTAGGCCTTGAGATACAATTTCGCTGCAGCATGAGAAGAAGACTTAAAGATAGCAGTTTTTAGGATGTTCAAGAACCTTAAAGAGGATAAGAATAAATGCCTCAAATGAAACATTTTTCTAAGCTTCTTACATCTTGAAATTTAGTCAGCCTAAAACATTGAAATGGGTTTGTTATGTCGCCTAGAGTCCTAGTTTACTTGGTGTTGCTGTGATAACAAAAGCAACTTGGGGAGGACTTGATTTACCTCAGCTTACAGTCCATCAGCTTCTAAGGAAGCCAGGCCAGGAACTCAAGCAGGACCCTGGAGGCCAGAACTGAGGTAGAGACTTTGGAAGAGTCCTGCTCCCTAGCTTCCTAGTTTCTGTTCAGCTAGCTTCTGTTGTAGCCCAGGATTCCCTGCCTAGGGCTGGCAGGTACATCAATTAACAATGAAGAAAATGCCCACAGTCTAATGTGATGAAGACCGTCCTCCAAGTGTGTCTCTCAGATAACTATGCTGTGTCAAATTGACTGCTGAAGCAAACAGGGAGACCCCGGCTATCCTCTAACTTCCTGTTAATCTTCCTGCCCCGGTGCTGTAATTATGGTGTGTACCACAAGGACCAGCTGTTTTGAAATGTAAATAATGTATGGACACTTGCTGTGGTGGATTATACTAACTAACCGAGTCAGTAATTGAGGTGGTTTGACTAAAATGGTCCCCATAGGGAGTGGCACTATTAGGTGGTGTGGCCTTACTGGAGGAAGTGTGTTGGTTGCTAGGGGGTGGGCTTTGAGATCTCAGAAGCTCGAGGCAGGCCTAGTGGCTTATTGTCTCTTCCTGTGGATCCAGGTGTAGAACTCTCAGCTACCTCTCCAGCACCCATGACTACCTGCATGACATCATGTCCCCTCATGATGATAATAGACTAAACCTCTGAAACTGTAAGCTACCCCAATTAAATGTTTTCCTTTATTGGAGTTGATATGGTCGTGGTGTCTCTTTGCAGCAATAGAAACTATAACTAACTTAAGACAGTCATCTATTTTGTTTTTATCTGAAATGAGTATTTTCATTTTCACTGGGTTTACATATAGGCTTACAGATGTTAAAGACAAATGCTTGAGGACCATATTAGGAGGGATGAGGGCTGTATTCTGATCACATCAACCCTCTGGTCTTTAGGGTTCTAACATGTGTAATAGACTCAGAGACACCTATTCTTACTTTAAAGAGTCATCACCGGGTCAAATAAAAATGGAAAAGCATTGTGTAATCAGGAAGGCACAATGTCAATATGAAATTCAGTGTGTATTCTCTAAACTCATTAGAGAGACAGATAAATGATTTTGGTATCTTACTGTTAGGAGGCCAGAATGAGATCATTAGTATCTGATGTCATTGTGTAACTTTCTCTATTGACAGAAGATTTGGATACCTACTGCGCTGGAGATAAAGGCGGTTCTTCATTAAGACGTTACTCTGATGAAAGGAAGCATCCCATAACACCTTTCTGCAGTTCCTTCAAACACTTAAATGTGAACTGGTAAGGCATTCAGAACAGATACTGTTACTGTTCTGTTAGCAACTCAAGAAACTGCAGTAGAAAAGAGGTAGAGTGTGTGTGTGTGTGTGTGTGTGTGTGTGTGTGTGTGTGTGTGTGTGTAAGTAAAAGCAATCTTGACCCTGATGAGTAGCTGAAGATCCTAATTTACTATTTTATGTGTGTGTGGACTTTGCCCACTTGTGTGCCTGACTCCCTGAGGATTCCAGGAGAGGATGTCTCACCTGGAAATTGGAGCTACAGACAGCTGTGAATCAGTGTAGTACCAGGAACTGAGTCCAGATCCTCTGCAAGAGCAGCCAGTTCTCTTAGCCACTAAGCCCATCACTCCACCCCTATTTAGTCTTTATTACATTTATTTTATTTATTTATCTAGTGTCTGGGTGGGAGATGGTGTGGGCATGTGCCAAGGCACATGCTGAGGCCAGAGCCCAATTTGTAGGAGTTAGTTCTGTCCTTCTACTGTTTGGGTCTCAGGTATCAAACTCAGGTTGTCAAACTTGGCAGCAAGTGCCTCTGCCCACTGATCCATCCTTCCTGCTGTAACTTATTAAGTAGTTAAAAATTAATGTTAAAAAGATTTACTCATTCTATTTTATGTGTATGACTGTTTTGCCTGCATGAAAGTGTATGTACTGTGTGTATGTCTGGTCCCGCCGGAGATCAGAATAGGTCATCAGGTTTCCTGGAATTGGAATTACAGATGTTGTGAGCCACAATATGGATCTGGGAACTGAACCCAGGTCCTCTGCAAGAGCAACAAGTGCCCTTAACTCTCTTAACTGTTGTGTCATCTCTCCAGTCCCCCCTTAAAATTTCTTTAAAATAGGTATTTTACTTTATGCATATGAATGTTTTACATGCATGAGTGTTTGTGTATCATGTGCATGCTTGTTGGGTCCCATAACTGGGGTTATGGAACCATGTGGGTGCTCTTAACTGCTAAGCCAGTGGTTCTCAACCTGTGGGTTGAGACCGTTGTAAGGGAGTCACAGGGGTCACCTATTATCGTCAGAAAGCATAGGTATTTACATTACGATTCATAACAGTAGCAAAATTATAGTTATGAAGTAGTAATGAAAATAATTTTATGGTTGGGGGTCACAACAACATGAAGAATTGTATTAAAGTGTTGCAAAATCAGTAAGGTTGAGAACCACTGAACTATGTCTGTGCAAAACATGTGTGCATTGTCTGAGATGACCAGAAGAGGATACCATATCCCTGATACTGAAATTACAAATCGTTGTTAGGTGCCGTGCCAGTTCTGGGAATCAAACCTGAATTCTCTGGAAGAGCAGTCCTAACCACTGACCATTTCTCCAACCCCTATTTATTTGTTCTTCTTTTATAGTGTGACAGGGTTTTACTGTGTAGCCCTGGCTATGCAGGAACTGGATATGTGTACTAGACTGACATCAAATTCACAGAGATCCTCCTGCCTCTGCTTCTTGAGTGCTAGGATTCGAAGTGTGTACCACCATGCCCACCTTTTTAGATTTACTCATTTTGTGTGTATGAGTGTTTTCCTTGCATCTTATCTGTGCGTACCTCATGTGTGACTGGTGCCCATGGAGGTCAGAAGAGGGTGTTAGATCTCCTGGGAGTGGAGTTGTGGATGACTTGTAAGCCATAACCTGTGGGTGCTGGGAACTGAACCTTGGTCCTCTGCAAGAGTATTAAGTTTTCTTAACAGCTGAGCCATCTCTGTATTCTGAAACTATTTTATTTTTTAATTACTTTACCACGTATTAGCTTTCCTTATGCTTTTTTCATCCTTATTAGTCTGGTTGACCCTCCTTCCTAGCTCCTACTATCCCTGTGCCTCTGCTCCTAGTCCCCCCTTAAACTTCTGTACTTTCTTCCAGTGCCACCGTTTATGTAGATCTGGGTATCATTCCAAATTATAACCTGAAGGTTTTAGACTGTGAAGATTTTTATACCATTGGCCTTTTTTCCCAATCCTTAATCATAGTCTAGTCTATAAGTACGCTGTCTTACCAGTAGATACAGGTCACAAACAGCTGTTTAGCACTTGAAAAGGGCTTGTCTGAAAAGAGCTGTGCTATAAATACAAAATACACCCAGAAATTTCAAAGACATAGGTTGGTCAAGATAATGTAAAAAACCCTCTTCTGTTAGTCAGTGTTCATAAACAAAAGAAGAGGGCCTATTTTGGCTCCTGGTTTCAGACTTGTAATCCATGATCGCTGACTGCCATATTTCCAGGCCTGTGGTGATGCAGAGTGTCACGGTGGAAGGCGTGCTAGAGCAGAGCTGCACACTTGATGGCAGCTGGGATGCGGACAGTGATGAAAAGGGACCAGGACAATACATCTTTGTTCTTAGTGTCCTGTTTCTTCCATGTAGGCCCCATTTCCCAACTTCTCCTTTAGTGGGTTAACCTGTTCATGAAACTAGCACTCTTGGAAACTAGTCGTTCAGGGATTTTGGGATATCGACGCTGGCACCCTTAGGAGTACTTTATACACAACCACAACAACCTCCGTGTCTTACGTTCTGCTGTGAAGTGACATTTCATATGGACCGTGATAACTGAAAAACAGTGTGAAAGTCTTGCCTCTTTTCAATGTTTGTAGTATCTACCAGAAGAATGAGCAAAAGTTCCTGTCACTTACATTACGTCCCTTTTGAGCAGTGCTGTACAGAGGTGACCTCAGAGGTTCTGGTTTATACATGAACTGCTAATCATCTTCACCACACTGTAGGTAGCAGTGCCTGGCATGTCTGAATTACTGGGTTTAGAAGAGTTTGGTGGCACTGAGCATTCTACAGCTTTTAAATTAGGTCTGTTCAATGTGCAGAAAAGGTTGACAGACACTTGCTGTGGATTTTCAGGATTTTTAACTTAGTTTGTATGTTTTACATGCACTTTTTATTTAAAAATGATTTTTATGAACTAGAGAGATGGCTCAGAGGTTAAGAGCACTTGCTGCTCTTCCAGAGATCCTGAGTTCAATTCTCAGCAATGACATGGTGGCTCACAACCATGTACAGTGAGATCAGGTAACCTCTTCTGGCCTGCAAGCATACATGCAGGCGGAACACTGTAGACATGATAAAAGCTTTTTAAATGTAATTTTTACATTTTCCTCATTTGTTGTGATATCACTCCCTGAAAAGCAGTTCTTTTTTTGTCAGCTGTTGTAGTGAATTTCCTGATTTCTGATATGTATGTATTATTAAAGCCTAGATGATGAACTGGATTCCTTTAATAATTTAAAGAAATGGGAAACAGAAAAAGAACTAACTGAAGATGATCATAGAGATGGTGCCTCCAAAATAACAAAGCAGTCCTTCAGAGAAATAGAAAAAGGTAAGAGAAACACTCATAAATAGGAATTTGCCATGTAGAGTAAATCATGCTTACCTTATAGTTGTAACAACTCCTCAGGAATCTGTATATTTCTGAGCTGTGAAGTTTTATAAACCGTAAGATGCTTGGTGGGCTTGCTATCAAGTTAAAGGAGAAGAGAAGTAAACAGACCATTTTCTGGTTGTGTTCTTCCATTCTCAAAGCCTATCCAAAAAAAGTTCATGATTAACTGAACTTTTACAATGTCTTTAGTTCCTTTTCATGTTTCCTCATGGCTTCTGAGGGTGTGACCAGCTCTGTGCTTTGAAAAAGTGCTGTAGATCGCTCCTGCTGGCTTCCCTGCTGCTCAGTAGCGGTCTTTCTCTGTCTAACCGAATGTATCCCATAGATTTAGAAGACAATGGACACTAAAGGTGGTGTCTGTTCCCCTTTGGCTGCAGGGTGTGGAGCATTACTGCTGCTCCTCTGAAGCATCGCACATGTGCTGTCTGCATTGTTTCTGCCTGCCTTGCCCTCCTCATCTCCTTTGTTACACTGGTCTCAGCATTTGAAGATAGTGTAGCTTGAGTCAGCCTGGGCTTGTGTTTTCCATTAGGTGACCAGTTTTTCTACTGCAAATGTGAGAGAAATTTGTCCTTAAAAGTTGAATGTACTTGAAGGTTGACAAAAAACATATAATACCTAGATGGGTTTTTCATTTTTCTGCTTATCTCAGTGATGAAACTTTTGTTTTGTTTTTTTGATTCATTTCATTGTTTTGTTTTTCAGGTATGTTCTCATCCTGTAGCTCAGGTTGACCTTGAATTTGTGATGCCTCGGTTAGTTGCTGGGATTATGGGTATTATGCCACCTGCCTGGAAAACAATTAGGGTTTTTGTTTGTTTGGTTGCTTTTTTTTGTTTTTGAGATAGGTTATCTCTGTGTAGTAGTCCTGGCTGTGTCGACCAGGCTAACCTCAAACTTAACAGAGTTCCTGCCTTTAGCTCCCAAATGTAAATTAGATTTTTATTTTAGCTGTTTCATGCTCTGTCCAAGATGGGGGACTATAATGAAAGACTTTTAAAGCTTGTCCCAAGGCCACCGAGTTCCATTTATTATATGTGAGTTTTTATTGGCATATATTCTTTATGATTCTGGGTTTCATAGGAAATATGTAATATACTTTTATTACATAGGAACTGTGTAATATTCTTCACCCCTCTCACTTCCTGTTAGTCCCTTTTGCCTCTAGAAGGTTTTGCTTCTACCTTCATGTCGTACAAATACATACATGACTTTATGTGTCATTTTGTTTGTTTGTTTTGAGACAGGGACTCTTTAAGTAGCCCAGGCTGTCCTAAAACTTCTGTACACCAGGTTGGCCTTGAACCCACAGAGATTTGCCTACCTCTACCTCTCAAGTGTGGGATTAAGATGCCTGCTACTATGCCTGGCTTCTATGTCTTTTTTTTTTTTTTTTTTTTTACGAGACAGGGTTTCTCTGTATTGTTTCGGAGGCTATCGGTCCAGCCTGGCCTCGAACGCACAAAGATCCGCCTGCCTCTGCCTCCTGAGTGCTGGGATTAAAGGCGTGCGCCACCACCGCCCGGCTTATGTCTTTTTTTTTAAAGAGCAAATGTGTGTGCACATGTAAATGTGTGTACAGGTGCCTTCGGAGGCCAAAGGAGTGTGTCAGAGATGAAGTTACAGGTGGTTGTGAGCAGAATACCACATGGGTGCAGGGAACCAAACTCTGGTCCTTTGAAAAAGCACCAAGAACTCGAAACTGTTGAGCCATCCTTCTAGATCTGAGTTGATGCATCTATATAAAACCTATTACATATAAACAGGAGAAAACTTGCCATATTTGTCTTTGAGACTGACTCAATTAATTTACTATGATAATATCCAGTTGAATCCATTTTTCTAAAAATGACATAATCCCATGTGTGTAGGTTTGTGTGAGCGGGCACACATGTATTTGATGTGTCACATTTCTTTAGTTACTCTTTTGTTGAAGGATAATTAGGTTGGTTCTGCCACTTGGATCTTGGCAATAGTGCTGCAGTGAACATATATGCACATGTATCTAAGTACGTTGACTTAGAGTTTTGTCACCAGACCTGATAGGACTGCCATATGGCAGATACAGTTTTAGTCTTTTGAGAGGCATAAGCTGATATTCTTAGAGGCTGGACTAGTTTGCATATTTCACAAGCAGTACATATAAGGGTTTACTTTTTTTCTTTCTAAAATTTTGTGTGTGAATGTTTTACATGTATGCATTAGGTGCACCATGTGTATGTCTGGTGCCTGTGGAGGTCAGAAGAGGGTATTGGATCCCCTGGACCTGGAATTATGGATAGTGTGGTTTATAATCATCTGAACCTGGGTCCACTGCAAAAGCAACAAGTGCTTTTAGTTGAGCCATCGCTCCAGCCTAAGGGTTTATCTTTTGTAAGAGAGCATTTTATATTCTAATAACAGAAAGAACATTCTGGTATATACAATGCTGGCAGGGATAGGAAGCAAGTAAAACTTACCCATACTGTTCAGACTGTTTAATCACTTTAGAAAATAATGTAAAGTTGAACCTACACATAGATCCTAAAAGCCAGAAATTTTGCTTTTAGGATATATATATTTAATATATATAATCACAGAGAAATGACTGAAGATGTGTGGCAGAACCATGTGCATGAATGTGTAAAGTCTGTAGAACCAAAGCACCTCAAATGCCTGTCTGGGAGAATGTTGCCATATAATTATAAAATAGGATACGGTAGTAAAGACATGTAAGCCCATCATTCTGCAGTCAGCATGGATAGATTTCAGAGAACATGTTAGTATTTAAAGGAAGAAGTTATAGAAATTGTGTAACTACAGGACATGAAAAATCTAATATAGACAAAACAGGGACTTTTAGGATATAGGTAGAGGAAATTGAAAAGTAAAGACAGTGATTGGCACTATTAATTGAGTTGGTGGTTAATTTGGTTTTAGGGCACAGAGGGAAACATGATTAGAGTTTGTGAGGTAATGTTCCATATCTTGGCCTGGGATACTTAATGCATAAGTGTTTTTATCCACATTACAGTTAAGTTTGAAACAATTTCAGATTTACCAGGAACTTTGCATAAAGTACAAATAATTCATTTATACACTTTATTCAAATCTTATGTTATATTTTATCATTTTTACCATATCATTCTTTCAAGACTTCTAAACAATACTGTAAGTTTTATTTAAAGCAGTTGTGTCAGAAGATTGCTCTGTCTGAGAAAACTTAAAACTTTTGCAGACGCCCTGCCGACTAACATAGCTTCATCAAGACTCCATACTGAACACTGCAGTGATTCTGTTGACTCACCTCTGAAACAAGTCATTTATCCAAAATCCAAAGTGTCAAATAAGCAGAGTTTACTTCCACATCAAATAAATCAAATATATGATGAATTATTTCACATCCATCTGAAACTGCAGGTAAAAACCAGATGCTGAATTGGAAATTCAGAAATGTTGTAAGACTATTTGCAAAACTTCGATATATATAAGGAATGTGATTGAAAGTATATTACACAGATCCAGGCAAGTCAGAAGGGGCATGTTTAATTTATAGGATTATTGAATGGGAAATATAGTGACAGAGAAAATTCAAAGTAGTGGTGGTTTACTAAGAAATATGTCTTTAGATTTTAGGTTGTCTTATGTTTGCTTTCAGCCTGGCCCATCCTTAAGATAGAAAACAAAAAGTGCTGATATAAACTGTGTTATTTGAAGACATTATAAATTCATTATAATGACTTATGTGTAAGAAGTCTCTTGTCAAAATTCAGCTCTAAACATAAGCATTTATGTTATCTATGGGGTTTATATTTAAACCCCATAGTGTGTTGTTGGCTGCTTTTTTTTTTTTTTTTACTCTTTTGGGGGCCCACCACCTAGCTCCCAAATAAATGCACACACAGAGTGACCTATTCTTATTAATAAATGCCCGGCCTTAGCTTGGCTTATTTCTTGTCAGCTTTTCTTCTTAATTTAAATTATCCCATCTACCTTTTGCCTCTGGGCTTTACTCTGTGATTGGCTATGTGGCTAGGTGGCTGGTCCCTGACATCTTCCTCCTCTTGTTCTCTTGCTTTTCCTTTTTTTTTTCCTCCCAGATTTCTCCTATTCTCTCTGCCTGTCAGCCTCATCTGTCTTTTCTCCTGCCTTGCTATTGGCCGTCCATCAATTAGACCATCAGGTGTTTTAGACAGGCAACGAATCACAGCTTCCCAGAGTTGAACAAATGCAGCATAAACAAAAGCCGCACATCTTTACATCATTAGACAGATGTTCCACAGCATAAACAAATGTAACACATCTTGAAATAATATTCCACAACACTGTGTTTATCAGGCTGCTTCCAAAACAACCCAGGATCCACTGTCCGGTACGGCATTACCCTTAGTGAGCTGGGTCCTCCTACATCAATTAATCAGGAAAATGCCCCACAGACTTGCCAAAGGTCAGTCTGATGGAGAATTTTTTCTGAATTGAGTTTCTCTCTTCCCAGAGGACTCTTAAGTTTATATCAAACTGACAAACAAACAAACCAGCATAGTGACTGTTGGATCTGAGCTAGAAAACGGCATTTTAAATTCGTAACTCATTAAGTTTTAAATGTGTTACTATGTTTAATATACTCATAGAGTTGCATACCATGAGTATATTTTAGAATATTTGAGAATATTTCATCATCCCCCAGAGGCCTCCACTAATCTACTTCCTGTCTCTTTAGATTTGTCCGTTCTGGATATTTTACATTTGCCATCCTATACTATGTAGTAATTTGTGCCTGGATTCTTTCACTTAGTGTATTTTTCAGGCTCATTCCTGTCAAATCATGTATTAGCACGTGCTCTTTATTGCTAAATACTACTCTGTTATATACCTTCTTTATTCATTAATTGTTGGGCATTTGGGTTGTGTCCTACTTTCACTTTTGTAGCTGTGATAAAATACTCTGGCAAAAATCAGCACAGGGGAGGGAATGGTTTATTGGCTTGCAATCCCAGGTTGCAGTCCATGACAGCAGGGAAGTCAAGGCAGCAGGAACTAAAAAGCAACTAGTTGTATCATATCCACAGTCAAGAGCAGATAAACCATGTTACTTGTGTAGCTTTTTGTTCTGTCTTATATAGCTCAGGGCCCCTTCCAAGGGAATGGTACTGCTCACAGTGGACTGGGCAAGACAGTCCTTCGAGGTATGCTCACAGGCCAACCTGATGGTGGTAATTCCATATTAAGACGCTCTTCCAAAGTAATTCAAGGTTGTGTCAAGCCAACAGCTAAAACCATCTAGTTATAGGTTGTTTACATTTCAGGCTATTGTGACAATGTTGCTGGGAGCATTTGTGTTTTAAGTTTTGTATGAACATACACTTTTAATTCTGTTGGAATGCTGGAGTCAGATGGTTACTATGTTTAACAATTTTTGAGGAACTAACAGACTGTGTTTCCAGAGTGGCCACACACTATTTTACACTGGCAAAAACCATTTGATCAAGACAGTGTTAGTGGGTTAAAGCACAATTGCAGATTTTGTGAACTAATTAAGGAAAACCATTTAAACTGTGTATTTTGACAGTGTGAAACGGTATCACAGCAGAAATTTGCCGAAGAACTTCAACAACGAGAACGGTTTTTAGCAGAACGGGAACAGCTGCTCTTCAGACATGAAACTGCCTTGAGCAAAATTAAAGGTGTTGAAGAAGAGGTTCAGACGAGATTTCAGATTTTGAAGGAGGTAATTGCGAAGCGTTTGACTGCAGAGCAATTCCACTTCATTAATTACGGCATTCTTGCCATATTTGCTCATTTCACCTCCTTCCTCCTCTTTGCCCCCACTCCTGCTTACCTTATTTTCTTTATTTCTCAGTAGACCAGGCTGGTCTGGAACTCTCAGAGATCCGCCTGCCTCTGCCTCTGCCTCTGCCCCCCAAGTTCTGGGATTAAGATGTGTGTCACCACCGCCTGGCTTGGTTTATTTTTTAATGCTTTTTTTTGGGGGGGGGGACTTAACTCAGGGCCTTGGGCATGTTGGGCCCTAAGCTGCTATTCAGATCAAACTTCCCTCTCTTTTAGCAACACAGCACAGAAGTTGAACACTTAACAGAAGCTCTTAAGGAAAAGAATAAAGAGAGCAAGAGAATGAGGTCCTCGTTTGATGCGCTGAGAGAGCTGAATGATAACTTAAGGAAACAGGTAAGGCCTACTTCGTATGTATTAGATGCTAAGACTTAAGACTTGTATTTGAGGAATGTCAGTCTTAAAACATTTCAGCTGGAATTTCATTAAATTTGTTGACTTTATTGTAAGATTCTTGTAAATGTAGATAAAATATTTGAATTCTTGCTTTTTTCATCTATTTTGACAAATAGCTGATCTATTTGGCAATTTAAAGAATTAAAAATACAAGAGCTTTACTAGATCAACAGCAAGCACAGGGCCTGGAGAGAGTGCTCAGTGGTTATGAGCCCTGACTGCTCTTCCAGAGGACTGGGCTTAGCTCCTAGCACCCACATGGAGGTTCACAACTGTCAGTAACTCTAGCTTTCGGAGATCTGATGCCCTCTTTGGCCGCTTGTGGTGCACAGACATGCATGTAGGCAAAACACCCATTGTCTTAGGTTTCTGTTGCTGTGAAGAGACACCACGACCATGACAACTCTTCTAAAGGAAAACAGTTAATCGTGTCTGGCTCACAGTTCAGAGGTTTAGTCCATTGTCATCATGGCAGAAGTATGTGGCAAGCAGGTAGACATGGTGCTGAAGAGGTGGCTAAGAGCTCTGTTTTTATATATTTAACTTTTTCATTTTTTTGGTTTTTTGAGACAGGGTTTCTCTGTATTGCTTTGGAGGCTGTCCTGGAACTTGGTCTGTAGAACAGGCTGGCCTCGAACTCACAGAGATCCACCTGCCTCTGCCTCCCAAGTGCTGGGATTAAAGGCGTGAGCCACCACCAATGCCAAGAGCTCTTTATCAGCAGGCAGCAGGAAGAGAATGAGCCAGTCCGTGGGGCTTGAGCATCTGGGACAGCAAAGGCTACCCCCTAGTGACATACTTGCTCCAACAAAGCCACACCTATTTCAGCAAGGTCACACATCCTAATACTGCCACTCCCTATTGGCCTGTGGGAGCCGTTGTCTTTCAAACCACATACCCATGTACATTTTTTTTTCCTTTTTTAAAGCAAGTACAAGAAAAACTTGTCAATTTGAGAATGAATTGACTTTTAGGCGTTGATCTATGCTTAAATACTTTTTGTAACTGTATACTACAACAATTTAAAAAAAGTATTTACTAAGTGTTAGGCACTGTGCAAGACTTAAGCCTTTTTGCTTATAGCTAGTGTATATAAAATGGTACTATATTGTACAATAACCACTTATATATGAGTTGTAATTATCGTCAATACATAACCCTAAAATTGCTTAGCAGAAATGTTTTTGTGTGTTGTAACTTAGTTTATTCTTCTTTCTATTAAAATGAGGGAATATGGGTGAAGATAGAGAAAGGGCTGATTATGTGTATTGACTTGGTTAGGGTTCCTATTGCTATGATTATACCAAGACCCAAAGCAACTTGGAAATGAAAGGGCTTATTTCAGCCTACATTTGTAGTCTTATGCTGTGATCTCGCATAAAGGGAAGTTAGGGTAGGAGCTTGAGGCAGAAACTGAAGCGGTAAGTGCTGCTTACCGGCTTGGTATCCATGACCTGCCCAGCCTGTTTTCTTAGACCATCCAGGACCACCTCCCAAGGGTGGCACTGCCCCCAGCAAACGGGGTCCTCCACACATCTCAGCCATATGTGCTCCCCCATCCTACAGCAAATAAGTCAAAGCAATGCTGTTCATCATTGAAGAAGTCAGGACAGGAACTCAAGCAGGGCAGGATCCTGGAGGCAGGAGCTGATGCAGAGGACATGGAGGGTTCCTGGAGCTGCCTACTGACTTGCTCCTCATGGCTCACTCAGCCTGCTTTCTTACAGAACCCAGGACCTCCAGCCCAAAGTAGTACCACCCACAATGGGCTGGGTCCTCCCCTATCAATCACAATTAAGAAAATGCCCTACAGGCTTGCCTGCAGCCTGATGTTATGGAGACATTTTCTCAGTTGAGGCCTCCTCCTCTCAGATGACTTTAGCTTGTGTCACATTGACATAAAACTGGTCGGTGCAAGGTCCATTAAAATTCTACTTCCACTACATTTCCCATTAGGCATTGTCTTTGTTACTTTTCCTGTTGCTGTGATAAAATACCCAACAAAGGCAGCTGAAGGGAGGAAGATGGGATTTGTCTCAGAGTCCAAGGGTAAGGTCCATCGGGGTGGGAAAGTCATGTGGCAGGAGCTTGGGAAGGCAGCTGATGACCTTGCATCTGTAATCAAGAAGCAGGGAGCAATGAATGCCTGTGCTCAGCTAGCTTCTGCTTTTTATGTCATCTAGGACCCAAGCTCTCACATAGTATCACCCTGTTTTATAGGTCTTCCCCCCCCACTTAACCTAATCAAGATAATCCCTCAGAGGTGTGCCACAAGGCACAAGGTCCCTGCCTTGTGCATAATTACAGATTGCTGATAGGCAACACTAACTTACAGGAGTTTTGCAAATTTTTCAAAGAAGTGGATGCTGTTAATGTTTTAGAGTGAAATGGGAATTATTGGCTGTTTTGTTACACTGCTCAGTTAAATATCTGGTAATATTAGATAGTACATTGAGAAATCCTTCATATCAAAATATTTTAAAACGTCTGTTGAAGAAATATGTAATTTTCCCCTTCCTTAGCTAAATGAAGTAAGTGAAGAAAACAAGAAGATGGAGATTCAGGCAAAAAAAGTTCAAGCTCGTTTAGATAACCTACAGGTAAGTTGCCTGCTTTTCTCCTGAGCTTTTGTTTTATAATTTTTTTTAGTGTATATGTGTGTGTATGAATGGCTGTGTGCCATGTGTGGTATGTGCAGTTGCCCACAGAGACCAGAAGAGGGCATTGGAGCTCCTGGAGTTAGAATTGCAGGCAACCCTGAGCTACCCAAACTGATGTCTGGTCTTCCAAGAGCAGTACCTTCTCCTAACTGCTGAGATACCTCTCTGATCCCCACAATAATTTTTAAATCATTTTATGTGTGTTATGACAGGTTCACAAAACCCCTAAAAGACCACCTTTGCAAAAGCAAAGGTTTCTTTATTGTTCAAGCTGGCAGGGACCTCTATGCTTGGAAGAGTCAGAGGTGCCTAGCAGTAACTGAGGGGGGTTTTTATAGGCAAAGACCACAAGTCTTAGAGCCACAAAATTACAAAGTTTCCATGGTTGCTCAAGGTCATTACACAAAGTATAAAGTAAAGCAATAACTATATAGCTAAGAAAGTTACATTTAAGCAAGATAGGGCAGAGGCATGGTGTATGGGGTCATGAGTTTGCCAATTATCCCATGGGTCAGGGAACTTTTACAACTGGCAATTAATTGACACAGATGGTGGTGAGCTAACCCCCTTTCTCCAAGAGCTGGGCTCACATACTTCCAGTCAGGGGGTTAGATTCTCTTTGTTATTAGAAATTCCCTTTTTCTCTGCATAGGTTCATTGGCCCAAGTCTTATTTTTTATTAATTTTAATTTTTGGTCTCTTAATGTGTCTGAGTGTTTTGTCTGCATGTATATATGTGCACTGTGTGCATTGCCCAGTGCCCATGGAAGTCAGAAGAGGACATTGTATCCCCTGGAACTGGAGTTAGAGATGGCTGTGAGCCACCATGTGGTTGCTGGGACTCGAACCCTAGTCCTCTGGAAGAGCAGCCAGTGGTCTTAACTGCTGAGCCATCTCTTTAGCTCTGTCTTGAATTTGTAGATGATTTGCTTGCTTTTTATAAGATTGCTCCTTAATTTGTGACCATGCTGTTTGCAGAGGAAGTACGAGTTTACAACAATACAGAGACTGAAAGGAGATTCCCTTGCTGCTCAGGAAATGAAAAGTTTAAAACAAGAAAAAGTACCGGCTTCAAAACCTTTCAAGGTATGTTATGACTCAAATTTGCTCTTACTCTTTAATCATTTTTTTCTATTTTAAGCAAAGCATATATTTTGTTTTGAAAGAATTCATCTTAACTATTTTACAGAGAATAGTCTTAATAGGTTTTCTGTATTTCGATAATAGGTTTCTCCACTGACACAGTAAGCCAGATCAAGCAGAATTGAAAAAGAGAAAGAGCAGGTTTATTTGATCAAAGTAACTCCCGGGGTTACAAAAAACATTTATATTTTAGCACTGTTTTCAGTACAGTGATACTAACAAGCCCCAGAGTCCTTTAAGGCTACCTGTTGTTAATAAAGTTATTTTCCTATCAAAACTACACCCTCTCTGTGAGCTTTTTATCAACTTACTTGATTTGTTTAGCAGATTTATTTTGGTTCACAGCCTCAGGGATCTCAGCCATGGTAGTGTGGCTCCCTGTTTTGTGGCCTGTTTGTTTTGGTTTTGTCTTTTTGTCTGCTTGACACAGGTTAGAGTCATCTGGAAAAAGAGACTCTTAATAGGGGGTTTCCCTATTACCTGTAGGCAAGTGTGAGGCATTTTCTTAGTCGCTGATTGATGTGGGAGGGTCTGCTCTACTGCGGGGTGCCACCGGGGGCAGGTGGTCCTGGATGGTGTGGGAAAGCAAGCTGAACCAGCCACGGGAAGCAAGGCAGCACACAGCACTTCCCTGTGGTTTCTGCTTCACTTCCCCATGGAGGTTCCTGTCTTGAGTCCCTTTCTTGACTTCATTTTATGATGAACTGGGATCAGGTTGTGGAAGCCAAATAAATTCTGTCCTCCACAAGCTGCGTTGGTCTTAGTGTTCATGACAGCAATAGAAAGGAAACTGGGGCAGGGCCCATGGTGAGGCAGTGCTTCATGACAGAAGGACATGTAGTGAAGCAGGTCTGCTCACCTCCAGGTAAGCCAGGAGTCAGTGGAGGGAGGGATGGAGCAAGGGCATCCTTCCAGTGACATTCCTCCAACTAAGCCCCACTTCCACCAGATTAAAGAGTTCATCAATGATTAAGTCATCGTTAATTCATCATTGACATTCTGAGTGGTTCCCAGAACCCACTATAGGAGAGAACCAACTTCCCAAAGTTGTTCTCTGACCTCTACACAACACACCCTCATACATGTATACATACATCATGTACAGTAAAAAAGTAAATATATGTATATATGTTAAAATTATTCTTGTTTCAAAAAATGTGGCAGCTATTCACCATTTTTCTCAATTGCTTGATTTTTGTCCTTATGACTCTGCTTATTGTTGTATATCTTTTAAGTCACACTTGTATCTCTGTTTTGTCGCCTAGTTTTGGCTGAAACTTAAATGAGTCCTCCTGCCTCGACCTCATGAATGTTGGTATAGCAGGGATGAGTCACTGCACCTGGCTTATTTTTGTATATTATATTTTGTTTATTTTGCAATAGGGTCACAGGTCTCCTAGGCTGACTTTGAACTCACTCTGTAGCTGAGAATGACCCTAAACTTCTGATCCTCTGGACCCCACCTCCTGAATGCTGGGATGATAGACATGGCCTATCACATCTGCCTTCGATAGTGCTGGAGACCGAACTTCCTGTGATTTACATCAAAGACAGATTCCCAGCTGAGCTACATCCCTAGCCTGGCTTTGCACTTTTACAAAAGAGTAATTAAATCTAGCATGCTTCCCAATTTAATAATGAATTATTGTGAAGAATAGTGAATTAAATTGGCCAAAATTGTGCTTTGAATGTATCATTGTCAAGCAAAACACAGAGACGGGCTAGAGAGATGGCTCTAAGGGGAAAGTGTCTGCAGTGTATTCTGCAAGCATGAAAACCAGAGTTCTGATCCCCCGAAGAAGCCCTTATAAAGACATAAAAGTCTGCATCAGTTTACCTGATTGCCTCTGACTCCCCACGAAGGAGCAGCAGGGTTCCCCAGATCAAGCTGTGTAAGGCGACCAGTATATCTGTGAGCTCCGAGTTTGATGAGAGGCTGTAATACAATGAATATCGTGTAAGATTCCAACCTCAGACCTCCATGTGCATATATACTCCTCCAGCATGTGAAAACAAGAATACACACACATTCATGCCACACAGACAAAAACTGAGAAGACAAAAATATAGAGACAGGAACTTTTAGTTGAAAATAGTAAGATTGTACTCTCCTGATGCACAGGCCGGCTTTTGGTATAACTGGAGATTAAAGAAAACTTTAGGAATTTTATTAGGACGAAGACATCTAACAATTATTCTGAAACAAAGTTCTTTGGAACTTGGGAGTACTGCAAGCTCTGGTTATAAAACTAAGGCTCATAGTTGACAGTTATTAAGTAAAAATAGTCAAAGATAGGGCAGACCATTTTGTTAGATTGACTCAGAAATAGTTTTTGGAGTAGGATGTTTGTGTTCCTGTGGTGTGATGGGAAGGATTCTGTTTTTTGCTGTTTTTTTTTTAATTTTATTTATTATTTTTGTTTGTTTTTATTTTTCAGACAGGGTTTCTCTGTGTAGCCCTGGCCATCCTCAGACTCGCTCTGTAGACCAGGCTGGCCTCGAACTCAGAGATCCACTTGCCTCTGCCTCCAGAGTGCTGGGTCAAAGGCATTTGCCACCACTGCCTGGTTTGTTTTAATTTTTGAGGTAGGATCTCCCTCATGTAGCCTAGACAGACCTTGAACTTGCTCTGTAAACTAAGGGTGACTCCTAGAGGGTTTTCTAAAGCAACAGAGCAGATGGATGGATGGATGGATGGATGGATGGATGGATGGATGGATGGATGGATGGATGGATGGATGGATGGTGGGTAGGTGGGTGATAGAGTGTATTCACATTTATATATTATATGAAGGGATGTATTAGACTGACTTACAGGCTGTGATCCAAGTAGTCCAACACAGGCTGTCTCCTGATGGGAAGGCTGAGAAGCTAATAGTTGTTCTAAGAGGCAGCAGTACTGGTCTTATGCTAGAGTCCTAGAGAGCTGCTCATCTTCAGTTTACATTGGCGTCTACAAGAAGGAGGCAAAGGAAAGCCTCAGCCGCTGGATACATAAACTTGCCAAGAGAGTGGGAGCAAGCAGGCAAAGAGCAAAGCTTCTCTTCCTTGTCCCATGTCCACCGGGTGTGGCACAGACTTAGGGTGGGTCTTCCAATCTCAAATTATCCACTCCAGGTGTGCCCAGCTGCTTAGGTTTAATGTATTTTTATTTTTTAGGGGATGAAGCACAGGTCACGCACATGCTATGCAAGTGTTCTACACTTGAGTTATATCCCAGACTTTTGTCTTACTGCTTTTTTCTTCTGTTTAAGTAGGCTCCCAGAGAATAGGGTTTCTGGAAGAAAAATTGCTTATCAGGTTATTATTACAAAGAAAGAAAGTTTTGTGGGAAGAAAATATGAAATCCTGCAGTAGAAATTCTTTAGTTTAGGGAATCATAGAGTCTGTAATGATTTCCTTTTTTTTTTTTTTTTTTTGAGACAGGCTAGTCCATGTTGTTGAATTAAAGCCATTTTTTTTTACATTTTTGTGTTATCAGACTTCAATAATTTTAATGATAATTATTTTAAAAACATTTCAGGTGGGTGTTGTGGCACACACCTTTAATCCCAGCACTCAGGAGGCAGAGGCAGGCGAATCTCTGTGAGTTCAAGACCAGCCTGGCCTATGAAGTGAGTTCTAGGACAGCCAGGGCTGTTATATAGGGAAACCCTAGCTCAAAAAATATTTTTTTTCTTGGTTTCCAGACAGTCTTACTGTGTATGTAACCCAGTTTGCCCTGAAACTCTATATCTTCTCGCTTCATGTTCTTTAGTGCTGGAATGGAGCTATGTAGAGTAAGGCCACTATAATATAGCCACTGAAAAATTTTATTATAGCAATAAAGTATACTTGTATTTCCCTTATTATGATGAATTTACTTGTCTTATCCAAGCAGGCATTTAATGTTTTTAATATAATTGTAAATATGTGATTTGGAATTGATATTAGGTAAACACCTAAACACTTGTCTAGGTAAATTATTGTATAACCACCAAATTTAAGGCTTTCTTTTTAGTTTTTATGGGGTTTTCAACTGCAGTCATGTTTGATTTAATGTTTGATCAACAGACGGCACTCAACGGACAAGTGTATGAACTGTTAATTGTTTTCATGGACTGGATATCAGTCCACCATCTTAGCAAAGTGGATCCTGAAGAACCTGGTGTAGATGGTGAAAAACCATCCTTCAAACCGTCCCAGAGAAGTGATATTCAAGAGAAGTGTGTAAAGGTTGGTTTTTACGACTCACTTATTTTTATTTTATCTGTATAAGTGCCACATGTGTGCCTGGTGTCTGTGGAGGCCAGAAGAGGGTGTTGTGTAGAAGGTTGTGAGCCTGTGTGAGTGCTTCAAACCTAAGCTGGGTCCTTTGTGAAGGCAGTAGGTGCATTTAACCACTGAGTCATTTCTCCAGCCCCCAAGGTTTTATTTTATCGTTAATTTGAAATACATGAAGAGTAAGTAAGGAAAAGCCTTTGGCAGTTTCATTCATTTATTTATTAAATTACATCTATTTATTGGGAGGGGTATACACACCACTACACATGTATGGAGATCAGAGGACAACTTTCTGGAGTCAGTTCTCTCTTCCCACTATGTGTGTTAGTATTAAGGCATCTGTACTGGCCTGTCCTTGGGGTTCTGACAGGATACCCCCTCAGCTGCAGCCACTAAGAACAACACCTGTGAATAGTCACTATGTTCCCTTTTAAAAGGGCCCTACTTATCTCCTATCCTTCTCTCTCTCTCTCTCTCTCTCTCTCTCTCTCTCTCTCTCTCTCTCTCTCTCTCTCTCTCTCTCTCTCTCTCTCTCTCTCTCTCTCTCTCTCTTTCTCTCTCTCTCTCTCCCCCCCCCTCCCTCGCTCCCTCTCCTGATGCTCCTGTCCCCAGAGACCATTCTCCCTCCCTCCCTTTCCTCTTCTTATGGACCCTTTCCAATAATAATAATAATAATAATAATAATAATAATAATAATAATACCCTTTTGCTTGAACTCAATATTGCATGGTGTCTTTCTCTTTCCAGCTGCTTTTTAAAAATTACAACAATGTGGTTCTCAGGTTCAGTGGCAAGCACCTTTACCCACTACGCCTTCTTACTGGCTCTGACATTTTCTTAAAAATTAGTTCCCTACATTTTATTTTATGTGAGAGTATTTTGCCTACGTGCATGTATGTGTACCACATTTAAATATGGTGCCTGCAGAGGTTAGAAGAGTGTTTTGGATTCTCTAGAACAGTAGTTCTCAACCTGTGGCTTGAGACCCCTGTGTATGTATTGGGGGTCAAATGACCCTTTCACAGGGGTTACCTAAGGCCATTGGAACACACAGACGTATACATTATGATTCATAACAGCAACAAAATTACAGTTATGAAGTAGCAATGAAAATAATTTCATGATTGGGGGTCACCACAGCATGAAGAATCGTATTAAAGCGGCACAGCATTAGGAAGGTTGAGAACCACTGCTCTAGAACTAGAGTTACGAATGGCTGTGAACAATCATATGATGCCAGGAATTGAACCCTAGTCCTCTGCAAGAGCAAAACGTGCTCTTAACCACTGAGCCATCTCTCCAGCCCCAACTTTCTGACATGTTCCTAAGTGAAAAATGTTGAAAGTATTTTTGTTTTGTGAGGCAGGATCTCGGTATATAACTTTGGCTGTCCTTAAATTCACTCTGTAGTTCAGGGTGGTGTTAAATTTAGGATTCTCTTGTCACTGCCTCCGTTTCTGGGATTATAAATATGTGCTTCTGTATCTGACTTAGAAGCATTTTTGCTAGAAAATTGTCTGTCCAACCGTTTTTAACATGATTCATTTCAGACCTCAATATTAATTCATACTAAATTTGAAAGGTTTTATGTGTATGCTTGTTGTGTGTGTGTGTGTGTGTCTGTACGTGTGCTAAATTCATGCAGTGCTCAAGGAGCTAGAAGAGAGTGATGGGCCCTCTGGGACTGGAGTTACAGACTGTTGTAGGCCACCATGGAGTTCTGGGAACTAAACCCTTGTATTTGTAGTTTTCTTAATATGATGGGAATTGGTTTTTTTGAAAAGTAGAGACATGATCTTAATAAAATGCTTAAAAGTGCCCAAACTATCATCTGTTGAGTAATGTGAGTAGTTTTTCCTACATACAGTTGTAGATTTGAAACCTATTGGGATAATTCTATTTTAATTTATTTTAATTCTATTTGGGATTAAGGGTAAAATCTCTGCTTTCAGGGGTTCTCATCATCAAAGGGAAATATTTCCTAATATTATATCAGTGCTCAAGATTTATAACTAGTATGACAGGTGTTTAGAGACTGACATTTAGCACAAAAACTTTGAGGAAAGGACAGGTTTTGTTTGTTATTTTCAGGAATAATTCATGACTATTAAGTAGTTCAGGATTTTGAGCAAATTATATTCATCTTTTTTTAAATTTTTAGCTACAAAGGTCCTTCAAAAAGTCTTTTGTGCTAGGTAGAAAAATGTTCCCATTCTGACCTTTGGTAGTATGTTTTGGTACATGACAAGAAGGAATGAAAAGTGTCAGTCGCTGTCCTTGAAAACAGGGAGCTTTCCCAGGTTTCCAGGGAGGTCCAGCACACCGAGTATTTAAACTGGAAAGGAAGAGTTAGAAGAATAGGTTGAATACTCAGTGCATCCTTGTTGGCATTGAACATGGACCAAGGAGGGGAATGAGCAATGGGAAGGAGACAGTTCTGGAGGCCGGATACTGCCCTCAGCTCAGTCAGCATAGATCTCAGTGCCAGAACTGCAGAGAACTGAGCTCTGCTGGCAACTTGAATAAGTAAGGAGTGAATCCTCCCCTTAGCCGCCAGAAACAGGTACAGGGTGGTAGACATCTTAATCTTGGCCAGCTGAGACCTACATCTGACCCAAGTGTTGTTTAAATATACTTTGTGGTACTTTATTATAGCTATTTGGGACACATTTTATTTAGGTTTTTTTCAGTTTTTTATTTTTTAGTTAGAATTTTTAACACCTATATAAAGTATTTCTCTATAGCAAGCTCAAAGCCAGAAGTGAATTCATGAAACTGTCTCAAGAATAACTTTTTGGGGGGAGGGTTTCTCTGTAGCTTTGGAGGCTATCCTGGAACTAGTTCTTGTAGACCAAACTGGTCTTGAACTTACAGAGATCCGCCTGTCTCTGCCTCCCAAGTGCTGGGATTAAAGGTGTGCGCCACCACCCAGTCTCTCAAAAATACTTTTAAAAATGAAATCTGAACTGGGTCTGGTATCAAATGCCTTTAAATCCTAGTACCCAGGAGGCAGAGGTAGGTGGAACTCTGAGCCTGGACTACAGACCACGTTTCACACAAACCAGAAATACATGGTAAGACCCTATCTCAAAAAAAAAAGAAAGAAATTTACATTAGTTTAATAATATATTTATCTCATATCTGGCTCAGATTCATTTATCTTTATGAATACTTTTAATAGACTTAAGACAACAAGAGAAAAACACATAGCCACATACAAAGGCGCCTCTGTGAACATGTTAGCATCTCTTGTAGCAGATCTTGGTGAGCCAGTTGTGGTGGCACAGAGTACTGAAATTTAAAACCGTCAGATGCACTGTGTCCAGTAGAACAGCCTTTCACAAATGGAGAAACGAAGACTCTCAGATATACAAAGCCGAGGGCTTTATCAACCTCCGTCCTGCTGGAGATACTAAAGGGAATCGTCAAGATGGAATGAAAGCTCACATAAACCACATGAAAGAATAAATGTGGTAAATTGCAGTGACTTTGATATAAAGTGTGTAATATGAAAACTGTAAAATTGTTGAAAGAAATTTAAAATATCTAAATAATGAACATCCTTAGTCCAAAGACCTAATATTTTTAGAGATGTCAGTTCCCTACCCCCAATTAGTCTGCATATTCAGTGCATTATTCAGATTTCACCTGGCTTCTTTGTAGAAGTGGATAGACCAATCCTAGAAGTCGTTTAGTTCATTTTTAGAAAGTCATGGCAGTTAATTTCAGATATCTAAATATGTGTTGCTTTTGTTTCCCACCACCTTCAGCTTTTGCCTATGATGACAGAGCAGCTCCAGTGGATGCCATTGGTGAATGTCAAACTGCATGAGCCTTTTGTAAAGTTTATATATTGGTCTCTAAGGCAGCTGCATGCTGGGACACAGGTACTGACTCATCAGAATCTATCTTTGAGTAGACTCTATTTGGTATCAGTTCTCTTGGTTATGTTTCACAGAAAAATAAATAGTACACCATGTGTGTGCAATCTGTTTCTTGTTTGAGAACAGTCTTCTCCATAAAATGCCGTCCTAAGGTTTTGATAAGAATTGTATTCAGCTTGTATACCAATTTCATGTGCTGAGCACTGACGTAGGAATGTAATCATCTTTTCACTCACAACTCTGTGTTTTTGCACCATGGCTGTATAATTTTCGCATAAAATTCATGTGTGGACTCTTCAATTTTTAACTATTTGAGTTTTTGAGTGATTTTTTTTTTTAATCGAGACAGGGTTTCTCTGTGGCTTTGGAGGCTGTCCTGTAACTAGCTCTTGTAGACCAGGCTGGTCTCGAACTCACAGAGATCCTGCCTGCCTCTGCCTCCTGAGTGCTGGGATTAAAGGCGTGCACCACTAACACCCAGGTAACCACAGCAACTCTTGTAAAGGAGAACATTTAAGTGTGGTGGTGGCTTATAGTTGAAAGGTTCAGCCCATTATCATGGTGGGAACCAAGGCAGCATGTAGGCAGACATGGTGCTGGAGAAGTAGCTGGCGACATGAAATGATCTGACACACTAGGCAGTGTCCTGAGCATGGGAAACCTCAAAGCCTGCCCTCACGGTGACACACTTCTAACAAGGCCATATCCACTTCAACAAAACCATACCTCCTAGTAGTGCCACTCCCTATGAGATTATGTTGGTCAATTATATTCAAACTACCATAGCATATAGATATATACTTGATTAATAAGGAATGTTGATCTTTGGTTTTTGTGTTTTGAGCCTTTTCTGGTTTTGTATCTATTTAATTTATAAAAATTGAAATCACCTCATCCTTTATATTTCTTAAATATTATTAGGCAGTATCTTAGTTAGGGGTTCTGTTGCTGTGAAGAGACACCATGATCACAATAACTCTTTTTTGTTTTTTGTTTTTTAATTAATTAATTAATTAATTTTGTTTTTTTGAGACAGGGTTTCTCTGTGGCTTTGGAGGCTGACCTGGAACTAGCTCTTGTAAACCAGGCTGGTCTTGAACTCACAGAGATCCGCCTGCCTCTGTCTCCTGAGTGCTGCAATTAAAGGCATGCGCCACCACTGCCTGGCAACACACAGTAAAGGAAAACATTTAATTGGGGCTGGCTTACAGTTCAGAGGTTTAATCCATTATCATCATTTCGAGAAGCAAGATAGCATGGTGCTGGAGAGGTAACTGAGAGTTTTACGTCTTGATCTGCAGGCAGCAGAAGGAGACTGCCACACTGGGTGTAGCTTGAGCATGTAAGACCTCCAAACCCCCCCTCCCCGTGTGTGTGTGTGTGTGTGTGTGTGTGTGTGTGTGTGTGTGTGTGTGTGTGTGTGTGTGTGTATGGCTATAGGGAACAAATAGACGTAATAGGCATAGGGTATCTTCCACAGTCACTTTACCTTATTTATTTATTTATTTATTTATTTATTTATTTATTTATTTTTGGTTTTTCGAGACAGGGTTTCTCTGTGTAGTTTTGGAGGCTGTCCTGGCACTCGCTCTGTAGACCAGGCTGGCCTCGAACTCACAGAGATCCGACTGCCTCTGCCTCCCGAGTGCGATTTCTGCATGAAATATGTGTGTGGAGGTCAGAGCACAAAGGACAGCTTTGAGGAGTTGGTTCTTTCCTAGCTTTCTGTAGATTCCAGGGTCAGGTCAGGAATAAATGCTCCTCTGAGCGATCTTGTAAGTCCCCCACCTTTTTGAGACAGGGTCTCTCACTGAACCCAGAGCTCACTGATTGGTTAAAATCAGTGAGCTGACTAGTGATGCTCAAAGATCTGCTTATGTTCCCCCATAAACACTAGCCCCCCAATACTGGGGTTACAGATGGGAGTGCTGGGGATCCACCTGAGGTTTTCATGCTTGTACCGCAGGCACTTAGCCACCCGAGGCATCTCTCTTATCCCACATGTCTTTGTATGTCACATTTTCATTCATATTCTTAAAAATATTTATTTTATTTTTATTTGTGTGCATGTATATGTGTGTCTATGTGTGGTTTTCTACCATATGAGGGTGTCAGATCTCCTGGACCTGGGATCAGAAGCAGTTGCGAGCTGCCTGGCTGAGGTGCTGGGATCTGAACTGCAGTCCTGCAAGAGCAGCAAACACTGGCAACTATGTGCCATCTCTCCAGTCCCTCCCTCTACATTTCCATACTGGTTTTTTAATCCCCTTGGAATGTCCTCTTTGGTGTACGTGTTACTTGGAAATTTTAGTTCTTTCTGCTTTTGTTTTGCTAACAGCTGTATTGTTTGTTCTGTTGTTGAGTGGAGTGTTTTTATAAATGTTAATTGGTGGTATTTATAAGTTCTATATCCTCTCTGATACTTTGTCTAGTTCTACTACTAACAGCTGAGGATAGTATGTTAAAATTATGTTATTTCATGCACATTTGTGTCTCACTTGTATCACATTAAATAATCAACTTAAGAATTTTTATGTGCACTGCCCATGGAGTTCAGAAGAGGGTATCTGACTCCCTGGAGTTAGAGTTAGAGATAGTTGTGAGCTGCCGTGTAGTGCTGGAAACCAAACATGGGTCCTGTACAAGAGCAGGTGGTGTTCTTAACAGCCAAGTCACCTCTCCAGCCTGTTTCACATTTTATAACTTGGTTGATTGGTGGGTATACATTTAGGATTATTGTGCCTTCTTGGTATAGTGACTATGTTTTTATTATGTAATTTTTTTTCTTTAAAATTTTTTGTTATTGGGCTTTTAAAATCTTACTTATCTATCTACCTATTTATTTATTGAGGCAGGGTTTCTCTGTATAACAGCTCTAGCTGTCCTATAGCTTACTTTGTGGACCAGGCTGGCCTTGAACTCATAGAGATCCACTTACCTGCCTCTGCCTCCTGAATGCTAAGATTAAAGGTGTCAGCCACCACTGCTCAGCTTTAAAATTTTTTTGAATGATGCAAATTTTAATTATTTTAGACTTAAAAATAAAACTATTCTACATAGTTTCCTCATGAATACTAAAATATTATTTACAGTACATTTAAATCAGAGTGCACTGTCCATGCCATTCAGTTCCCAATCATTTGATATCCAAAATCTCAGAATATCTGTTTCTAGTTTTGAGTGTACAAATGGGTTGTTCACATTTCAGTATCATTGCTGAGTTTAGAATCAGTTTACAAATCCTCGTGAATATGTGGAAAATCATTGTGAACATCAGTGAGAACGGCTGGAAGAATTAAGTCACACAGAGAAACTTTTAAGTTATCTAAGTCTAGCATACGCATTCTTGTTTTTCAGTAGTTTGAAATGGTTTTCTTTTGTTTGAGTCATAATAAATCTGTGGTAGACCACCAGATCCCAAGTTATTCCAGAGATACCTTATTCTGCACCATTATTTCTATTTTGTCCATTTTCTTGTTGAAATTTATTCCTTGAGAATTTCCCATGATTCTGACCCAGTATTTTCTTCTTTTGAACTTGTTAAATTTTCAGAGTCACTGGGGGTATTTATAGTGAGACTGAGCTGAAAACATGAAGAAGTTGGTCATTTGATAAGCAAACACTTCTGAATCTTGCCCAGGGGCAGTCTTGGCAACATTTGGGCTGGGGCTAGGCAGGGCCTTGGTTCCTGGGAACCTGGCTTTTCCTCCTTGATGATCCTGGAATTATCTGTCCCCAGGCTGCCATGTGCTCAGTCTGTGATGCCCTTTCAATACCCTGTGTTCCTTTTGTGCAACATTGCTTGGTTAGCTTCCTGCTGACTTCATTCTTAGTCAGGGCCTCTGAGAAAACCTTGGGTTGGCCTGGCTCCCAACAGAGAAAAGTAGTGAACTCAGAGTCCAACTCTTTTCTTTTGATATATTTCTCTATGCTAGATTTAACCTGATCTTAATTTATTAGGAAAACATTTCAAGAAAAGAAGTCCATACTTGGTTTTTTAAAGTTAATTATACGGTTTTAACTCTAATCTACATGTTTTCAATTCTGTTGTCATAAATATTTGCTTTAATGCATAAATTTGACCAAAGTATTTAAAATGGATGATTGTGTATGTGGTGTATGTGTATATATATATATATATATATTTTTTTAAACAGCATTCAACTATGACCTCAACATTGAGGAGGCTGGGTGAAGACATATTTAAAGGAGTGGCAATTAAAGGAACTCAGGATAATTCTTTAGAGCATTCTGTGGAGAACAGACCAAAGACAGCAGCATTCTTCAAGAGCTCCAACTTGTCACTGAGATTTTTATCAACCCTGATTGTCCTTAAAACAGTCACTCAAGGTAAGCTTCCAGAGTGTTTACTGGTGATGTTAGTTAAACTTTTATGGGAGACTATTGTATAATGAAGCATTTCTTTTATAGTCACAAATGTTCAACCTTTCCAGAATGAAGTTTTGAGTTATTTTTTTTAACAGTGGCACATTTTGAAAACAATCACTTGTAATTGCTGGATTTAAGAAAAATAAACTCTTGAGGCATATATCGCTGTTGTTTTGAGACAGGGTCTCTCTAGTTAGCTCTGGCTGACCTGGAACTCACTATGTAGACCAGGCTAGCCTCAAACTCACAGAGGTACTCCTGCCTCTGCTTCCTGAGTGCTGGGATTAAAGGCATGTGCCATCATGCCCTGCTTTTGTTGATTTTCTTAGATCACATTTTTATGTGACCTTTGTTGCCTTAGTATTTGTCACATAAATTAAAATTGTATTGTTTTCACTAGAGAGGAGAACAGGAGTGAAGGGGGAAGTTCTTCTGTCTATATGTTTCTCTTATTGGTTAATGAATAAAACACTGATTGGCTGATTGGCCAGACAGGAAGATCACTCTTGGAAAGGCATTATTATCCCAAAATAAATTCATCTCAGACCTATCTTAGAAACTTTTCTGTACACACACACACACACACACACACACACACACAGACAAAATTTTCACAGGCAGTCCATAACCTTACATAAAAAACATGTATATTCACCAGAGGTAGGTAAAGTCAAAATTAGGAACTCAAAGCCACTATGTCAATCAAGGATAATATTCAAAGTCCTGTATCAACATATGATAACACCATCTAATGCAGTAGTGCTGCAACCCCGTTAATACAGTTTGTGTGTGGTCACCTCCAGCCATAAAGTTATTTTATCTATTTATTTATTTATTAATCCATTTATTTATTTATTTTGGTTTTTTGAGACAGGGTTTCTCTGTGGCTTTGGAGGCTGTCCTGGAACTAGCTCTTGTAGACCAGGCTGGTCTCCAACTCACAGAGATCCGCCTGCCTCTACTTCCTAAGTGCTGGGATTAAAGGCGTGCGCCACCAACTCTGGCTAAAGTTACTTTATTACTGTAGTTTTGCTGCTGTTTGAAGTCATAAATATCTGATATGCAGGATATCTGATATGTGAGCCCCTGAAAAGGGTTGCGACCCACAGTTTAAGAACCATTAGTCTAATGAAAGGTAATGTTTATTTTTCTAAGCATTTATTTTAATTAATTAGTTAATTGGGAGTACACATGTGGAGGTCAGAAGACAGTTTGCGGGAATTAGATTCTGCAGGTCAAACTTGGGCCATCAGATTGGGTGCAAGTACCTTTACTTACTGAGCCATCATGCTAGCCCATAATGTTCATTCTTGTTAAACTCTGAAAAAAACAAGAATGCAAAGTCTGTTTATTTTATATGAGGAAATAAGATGGAATAAGATGGTGTCTGTTATACTTCTTGTGTAGTATGCTGGACAGTACAGTATTGGACTTGTTGGTGTGTGAGTATTGGAAAAGAATAAGCTATAGGGTTTTTATATGTAAAACTAAAAAACTATCAGTAAAAGAGAAAAAGCATAGAAAATATGCCAAAAAATGGCAAATACCTTAATTAAAAAGCAAAACTTGTCTCTTGAATAATACAACTATATTCTTCCTGTAAGAAGCCCATTTTATATACAAATTGACTATAAATAAATTAAACACCAATTAAAGGAAAAACAACACAGTAACTGGACATGGTTGTACACATCTTTAACACCAACATTTGGGAAGCAGAGGCAAGTGGATCTTTGAGGGTTTTTTTAAATAATTTATTTTTATGTTACATGAATTAGTGTTTTACCTTCTGTGTGAGGGTGTTGGATCCCCTGGAACTGAAGTCACAGACAGTTGGGGCTGCCATTTGCATGATGGGAACTGGACCCTTCCTCTGGAAGAACAGTCAGTGCTTTTAACCTCTGAGCCATCTCTCCAGCCCCTGGATCTTTGAGTTTTGAGGACAGCATGATCTACATAACAAGTTGCAGGTTCTCCAAGGCTGTACAATGAGATCCTGTCTTAAAACAAAACGGAAGATGAGGCACAGAATTAATGTTAGATACAACAAATTTCTAAGGACAGATTGTTCCTGGAAAGGATTGTCCCATAATAGTTAAGTGGTCAGTTCATCAGGGGATCACTATGATCCTTTCTGTATCTGGAAACATAGCCAAAACTGGTAGAATTAAAGGAAGAAACAGTAAGTCTGTGAATATGGCCAGAAATGACAACATTTCTAAGCAGTTGAACATTGGCAGAAAGTAAGGATTTAGGGGCTGGGGAGATTGCTCAGTGTTTGAAGTGCACACTGCTCTCTCTAGGACTGAAGTTTACTTCCTAGCACCACACCCAATGCCTCTCACCAGCTTGTAACACCCTCTTCTGGCTTCTGTAGGCACTGTACTTACATGCACATATCCACACACATTCCCACTTGCACCTAAAAATAATGGGCATATCAGATATCCTACATACGACTGGGCTAGAGTGTTGACTCAACAGTTAAGAACTCTTAGAGGACCGAGGTTTGATGCCCACCACCTGCATGGTGGCTCACTTTTGCTCTAGTCCCAGGGGATTCAGTTCCTTTTTCTGGCTTCCTTGGGCCATATATTGTGGTACAGACATACATGCAGGCAAAATACCCACTCACACAAAATAATAAAGTAATTTAAAAAGAAAAATAAGTCTTTTTAAAAAGTAAAGTGGGTTTGAGCAACACTATCAGCCAACTTGATCTGTTTATAGAAATCTACCTAACAACAGAAGAAAACACTGTAGTGTTCATGGTTAGGACATTGCATGGGTCATAAAACAAACTTTAATAAATTTAAAAAGATTTCAAGTTGTAGAAAAACAGTTGTATGTGTTTCCCCCTAGTTGATACTCATAAAGCCTTCAAGTATTTGGAACTAAAGTGATCTATGTAACCCACAAGTCACAGTAGATGAAAAAAAAATGAAACCAGAACATTCCAAACTTTGTGGGATGGGGCGAAAGTAACATTCAAAGGTACTCAATGCCTTTAAAACAAAGGGGAGGACAGTGAAGCAAATAAAAAACATAAATTTTAAGGCTATAATCAGCCGAAGTCTGTGAAAATATGAAAAGTAACAGAGAAAAATCAGTGAAGACCAAAACTCTTTCATGGAGAAGACTACTAAACTGGTATGTCTAGTGAGGCTGAAGAGAAAGGAAGAGAAGGAAGAAAATCAGTGGCAGCAGAAACAAGGGTGACTTAACAGGACTCAGAAGAGAGTAAAGAGTGTACTAAATAAATTAAAGCCAGCACACAACACTTCTGAGGAAATGGCATATTATTTCAAAGATATAAGTGCTAAATCCTTTAACCTGAAAGACCCCATGTCTACATAGAAGTTGAATCTGTAGTTACAGTTTCCCTTCAGGAAAATTATAGCCACAGACGGTTTTACTTGGGAGTTATACCAAGTATTCAGTGGAAACTTTCTAGATTAAAAAAAAATGAAGTGAGCCAGGAGGTGGTGGCACACGCCTTTAATCCCGGCACTCAGGAGGCAGAGGCAGAGGCAGGCGGATCTCTGTGAGTTCGAGACCAGCCTGGTCTACAAGAGCTAGTTCCAGGACAACCTCCAAAGCCACAGAGAAACCCTGTCTCTAACCCCCCCAAATATTTATAAACATGTGAGAGACAAAAGATATAAAATGATGTAGATTGTTTACTAAAACTGTGGAGAGAAACCAAAGGTCAAATATGTAGACATTCTAGGCAGACATACCTTATTCACAGATCAGGAAGTTTAGTGGATTTTGTTTGTTGGTGTTTTTGAGCCAGTGTTTCTCTGTGTAGCCCTGGCTGTCTGGAACTCTCTCTCTAGACCAGGCTGGACTTGAACTCACAGAGATCCAGCTGCCTCTGCCTCTGCCTCTGGGATTAAAGGCCTGTGCCACTGCCACCCATGAAGATTAGTTTTAAGGTGTCAGTTCTTTCCAAATTGGTTGCTGTGGCTTCCTAGTGATCAAAATGATATTAAGCTCTTAGTTAGAAATTGATAAGCAGATTTCAAAGTTCAAACAGAAACCCAGAAGGTTTAAAGTCCTTAACACAAATTTGTTTTATTCTACCGGACTTTAAAAGAGCATGGTATTGTTGTAAAGCCAGATATCAGTGGCTAATCTAAAACAGATCTACACATTATGGCCAGTATATTTTCAGCAAGTTGTCCAGACAATTCAATATGGACAGGGCTAGTCCTTTCTGAAAATGAGGCTAGAGTGATAGTGTATCACACGTGGTTGGGGGGAGGGCATACAACAACAAAAAACTCAAAATAGAAATTGAAAAGCTAGAGCTATAAAAGTTCAAGAAGAAAACATATGAGATTATGTTACTAAACTTGGGTTTTACATAAAGTTTTGGTTTTTTCCCTTCTTTTTGATACAGGTATTATCTAACCTAGTCTAGCTTCAGATTTTCTATGTAATTGAGGGTGTCCTTAAACTTGCTATGTAATTCATGGCAATCTCAAGATTGTGGAAAGCTTTCCGACTCTGCCTCCCAAGTACTGGGATTATAGGTGTGTGTCAACACACCAAGGAAAAATATTTTAACAGACCAAAATTGTCTTAATTTAGGGAAGATAATTTGACTTTGTCAAAATTAAAAATTTTGTGGTCTGGAGAGACGGCTCAGTCATCAAAGAGCACTTGGCTGCTCTTGCAGAGGACCAGGATTTGATTCCCAGTATGCACATCGGGTGGCTCACAACTGTTTATAACCCCAGTTCCAAGGAGAGCTGTAACTTCCTTCTGGCCTCCACAGGCACGTGGTACACCCATAGACAAATGGGCACTCACCTATACACCTACACCTACAAAATAAATACATGTGACCTCCTCATATAATCCTTTAATGGTTGCTTAGGATTTGATTTGTTGATAGAAGGAGACATTACAAAAGGTTTAAGAAGCTTTTTGGAGTGACAGGATGTAGTAATAGT